GTTTACTCATTTATGAATCAATTCATTTGAGAGTTTACAATTTAGATCATTTCTTTGTTCATTATATCACTGAGCTATTATGTTCATAAACGAATCTAATTTAAAAATGCCTAAAATTCCTTCAGTAACTATTTTGATAAACTCTTTGTACTTTAAATCATTCGGAATGAAACTTTTACTCAGCTGAATCTAGACTGTCTCTCAATAACACATTTAACTATATGACAATAAAATTGTTTGGTAAACAATGTAGTTTAAACTGTTGAGTAAGAGAAGAGGAGTTTTTAACCGTTTTTAAAAGCTCAAACTAAATTCTCGTATCACTGAACTTCAAGCAGAAGTTGTGGTGTTGGGATACTCAGAAAAATATCCCAAAAACAGTTATCCGGTTATGTCTAACGCTACCCTTGAACGTTAAATGGTGTCATTTCCCTATTGGTCGTTTCCCTACTGATCAATATTTATTTCTATTCATCATGGGCTGCACCAATTGTGGTTGTAAAAAAATCCAATGGTTCCATACGCATTTGTGCAGACTTTTCCACAGGACTCAACGCGGCTCTACAACAGCATCACTATCCGCTGCCGATCCCAGATGACCTATTTACTATTTTAAATGGTGGTACCTACTTTGCTAAGCTGGATCTGGCAGATGCTTACCTTCAAATTCCAGTCACTCTCGAATCGAGAGAGTTGTTGACAATCAACGCTCACCGAGGACTTTTTCAGTATACCCGGTTACCCTTCGGTATCAAAACTGCTCCAGCGATCTTCCAGCAGATCATGGACACTATTCTGGCAGATGTTCCTGGTGTTGCTACATACCTTGACGATGTGCTCATTGTCGGCTCAACTGTTGATGAATTGCATACCAGAACCCACTTAGTTCTGCAACGCCTCCATGATAATGGTTTTCGCCTGCGTCCAGAAAAGTGCCAATTCTTCTTACGTTTCGTTAAGTACCTGGGGTTTATCTTTGATGCTTCCGGACGACACCCTGATCCTCAAAATACTTATGCAATCCAACAAATGCCTGCTCCCACTGATGTCTCCTCACTGCGATCATTTTTGGGAATGATTAGCTACTATTCAGCATTTCTTCCATCACTGCATGACGTACGATATCCATTAAATCGTCTGCTAGAAAAGAATGCTACTTGGAATTGGTCAACGCAATGTGAGTCAGCCTTTTCAAAACTTAAAGCTATGCTAAGTTCCAATCTTCTGCTAACCCACTACAATCCGAAACTACCCATTGTGGTTGCTGCTGACGCTTCAACACATGGACTGGGTGCCGTAATCTCACATGTCTTTCCCGACGGGTCAGAGAAAGCGGTGATGCACGCTTCGAGAACACTAACACCTGCTGAGAAACGCTACGGCCAGATAGAGAAGGAAGCGTTAGCCCTAATTTTTGCTGTCCGGCGATTCCACAAATTCATTTATGGGCGCCGTTTCACTTTGCTCACAGACCACAAGCCGTTGTTATCAATCTTTGGATCAAAGAAAGGCATTCCTGCCCATTCTGCTGATCGTCTTCAACGTTGGGTGTTGGCGTTATTGGGGTACGACTTCGACACCCAGTATCGACGTTCCGAAGATTTTGGTCAAGCGGATGCACTGTGCAGACTTATCAGTAATCATTCTACCACTGATGAGGACACATTCATAGCCACAGTATCAACCGAAGAGGATTCCGGTGCTACACTATTGGCGAACGCCGTTCGAGCAATGCCTGTTACCGCTGAAGATGTTCGGGAAGCTACCAGAGAAGACCCGATTATCCAAGAAGCGATCACCTATGTTCAGAGCAGACGGCCAGTTAAGCAGCTGAGTGGTGATATTCAACAATTAGCGAATCGTCGCAGCGCTCTCTGTATTGTTAACGATTGTCTGATGTTCGGTGATCGCGTAGTAATTCCAACAACCCTACGTTCCAAAGTCCTACGCCAATTCCACTCTCGACACCCAGGGATAAACCGTATGAAATCCATCGCTCGCAGCTATGCATATTGGCCGAATATGGACAAGCAGATTGTCGACTTCGTCAAAAGATGTTCACATTGCCAAAAAGCTGCGAAAAATCCTCCTAAGTTGCCTCCAGTGCCCTGGCCGAAGTCAGAAAAACCCTGGTCGCGAGTGCATATTGATTTCACCGGACCCCTAGATGGTACCACATATCTGATACTGGTTGACTCATACTCCAAATGGCCGGAGATATTGCCGATTGCGCCACCCTCTACAACTCGAACCATCAAACTCCTCAATCGGATCTTCGCTCAGCATGGTCTTCCAAAAACAATAGTAACAGACAATGGTTCACAATTCACATCTAGCCAATTCCGAGAATTTTGCCTGCAAAATTCGATTAACCATGTTCGTTCTCCGCCATATCACCCGCAATCTAATGGACAAGCTGAAAGATTCGTTGATACATTTAAACGAGCCATGCTCAAAGCACGAGGGGAGGGGACCACAGAAGATATCATAGAACGATTCCTAGTTGCGTACCGGACGACCCCGCATGACTTATTGTCAAACTCCAAATCCCCTGCTGAGATGCTTATGGGGCGAAAGCTACGGACAGTTCATGGTGCGATGAAACCCAAGCAAATGGCCTGGCAAAGCCCCCAGATGAAGAATACTCGAATTCCCTACGAAGTTGGCACAAAAGTGTATGCGCGAGATTATAGACACGGATGCGATAGATGGGTAGAGGGTGAAATCACACAAAAACATGGGAACGTCATGTATGATGTCAAGGTGAACCAAGAAATCTGGACCAGGCACCACAATCAACTCAGGTCAAGGAAAGCGAAGGAGAAAGAAGCAATTACAAAACATGTCCCACTCGACTTGCTGTTGGACACGTTTCAACTTCCGCCAATACCTCCAACAGAGACGATTAAGTCATCTACTCAAGTAGAACATCCTTCTGGTTCTGTGTGGTTGCCTCGGAGGTCGGATCGCAAAAGAAGACACCCAAAGAAACTTCAAGTAAACCCTCGGTTACGTCGCTATTAACTTCTCCAAGGGGGAGGTGTTGGGATACTCAGAAAAATATCCCAAAAACAGTTATCCGGTTATGTCTAACGCTACCCTTGAACGTTAAATGGTGTCATTTCCCTATTGGTCGTTTCCCTACTGATCAATATTTATTTCGCGTGTCATTTTCCTATTGGTCAGCATTATTTAACGTGTCATCTTTCTGTTGGTCAATATTTATAGTAATCCTAACTGTATAAATATGCATTTGTTTGTAAATCATTATTCTGCTGCTCCTGACCCCATAAACGAATTTTCGTCTACGATTCGTGTTCTGATATATTGGAGATTGGGAACAGTATTGGGGTCGAACTGGGATATCTGAAGCTAGTCAATCGGTAGAATTTAGAGTAGCCAACTCGCGATTCACAATATGTGGCGACTTTATAAGCATAAATAATTATCACTTAAACATTAGTATATCAATCACTGAATCTCTTCCATAGGAAATTAGCTGAATTTACAGTGGATCAGAGATTTATGCACTTAATCTTCATGATAACACTGCTTTGAAAAAATCTGTTGTGATGCAAAGGAAATTTCGCCTTGTCTAAATTCGTCAGCTTTCGTATCCGTGAATTATGTTCATAAGATAGAGAATTACACTCATGGTTATGACGTAGCTTCCTTTGAAGAACTGTCCAGTAGGTGACCACCATCTTTGGGTAAAAAAATCCAGTCTTTCACATTTTTGTGCCCTAAAGGAAACAGACTCGAAATTATTCAACTTACCTTCTTCTTTGACGACCGACTATGGATACTGAAACAGTATTTCGGAGACCACGTTTGCCATTCAAACTGGCCACCTTCAACGTTCTCGCATTAATGCTGATCGGAAAACAGATAGGGTTGGTTATGTGTTTAGAAAGTCTCAACATTTATGTCTGTTGTCTATGCGAGACCTAGTGAAGTGCTACAAATTCTCTATCTGTCGCTTTGGAAAGCTTGTTTCACATGCGCTTATCCAGTGACTCTGTGGTATCTACGTCTAGTTTTGCTGGCGTTAGTTTCGCACTAAACGCCTGGGCTGAGGCAGCACTGGTCGATTGAATCCCCATTATCAATCCATTATAGTGCCCCTTTGTATCAATGTTTATATGTCCAAATAAATAAATAAAAACTATCAAAAAGATGTCGTGTGGATATTATAGTAATTTGATAGTTGAGTTAATGAGTTGTTCGCGCACGAGACTGATAGGTCCTAGGTTCTTAGCCCGCTGTCAGGATCGCGGGTGCGCGCTGCTGAAGAGTCCCACAATAGGACGAAACGGCCGTTCAGTGCTTCCAGATTTTCCATGGTGGTCTAGCTTCAATTAACTCATGAACTCAAATAGAAACTACTTTAAAGATGACTTCGACCATATAACGAACTTCGGCGGTCGCCTTACTGACATGGAAACCTAATATAATATAATTCTGATGACATCACGAATTATGAAGTGACTTGATATCATTCTTCCATATTCCCAGAGTTTGCTCTTCACTAACGAAAAGTTACTATAAACAGCGTAGATAAAAGGATTGTTGAGAAATACATTTGTCCTTAACTCTTCCTCAGTAACATAACGTATTCCCTTTACTACGTACATTTTCAATTAATAATACTATGTTTCCTATTGACTGTAATCTAATACAGATTACATTATTAGAGCTCATTATTAGAGAAATGGTGGCTAATACCGTTTTTTATTAACTTTTTACGTATTAATAACCAGTGATATTAATTTCACCTCATTCTTTCACATGGAACAACATATTTCACAGTTAGGAAGATGGATTGAGAAAAGAAATTTTTTTACCGTCTTAAAAACTAACCACAGCATAATTAATTATAATCATCTATCATAGTATCAGATAATGTAGTTTGTAAATATATCTAGCCAAAATGAAATAAAGTATTTTTGTTTTTGAAATTATTCAATAACTCATTATTTCTGTACTGCTGTTTTTTTCAGAGTTAATGATCATACTAGAATAAGTGATGAGGATGACAGTGAAGATGATGTGGATGAGGGAGATTTCACAGTTTATGAATGTCCAGGGCTCGCTAATGTAAGTTAGTCACATCTCTACCATTTTGTTGATATATCACTTGAGGATTTAAGTAATCCATTGTTCACCATATTTAAGGTGTTTCTTAAAATATTGAAATAATTACTTAAAAATTCTAGAAACACCATAAACTTAAGTGAAAGCAAATAATGTGTTTCATGTTATTAGAAAAAAACGAACCGCCAGTAGATCATCATCAAGGAAATATAAATACTCTAGAATACGGTGTACCTCCCCTTAGCATTATCCATAATTACCAAACCTTTCAAAGACAATGAATGAAGTTATTATATCGTTTACTAAATAAAAACAGACGTTTTATACCTCAAAACGGAATACAATGTTTGATGTACACCTAATGAAATGTGTTTGAATTTGAAAAAACACACATTGATTCTATCGCTAATTTACATTGATAACAAGGTATATTAAGTCATTTACAAATAGCACTTAAGTTTATTAGAAGCTTTAATCACCAAATGGATAGATTCGTAAATAATATTCGTTTACATCTAGTTTGAGCAAAAAAGGTTTAACCGATTATCACTATAAAAAAGTTTTACATGTTGCGCTTGTACAGTGAACTGGAAGTATGGTTAATCATCTGTATCGAATGATAATTCTCGCTTTCCATCACAAAATTTCTAGTCAAACTTCCAAGACTGATTTATAGAAAAAGTTTCATCATCATCATCATCATCAGAAATAATGATATTTTGCTACTCATACGTTTATATAAAAATAAACTAGGTAAATAATATTAGAACAGTAAAAATCTTTTTCTTTGTTTATATCCGGAGTTATTTATTTATCAACAAAAGTTTCAGTTTGGTTTTGTACTCTCGTTGGTAAATTTACATCAGAAACCAGTAAGTGAATTGTTATTATGACCTGTTAGAACAAGAACAATGAGTCAAAAAAAAACTACGATAATTTTAGTAATTTATAACCGGTAACAGAATAATATGAGTGTAGTTTGAAATATGTTATACAAAAAGTCACACAGTGTTTATTTAAAAGAAAATTATGTTATACCATAGTAAGTTAGAAACATTGCGTATAACCTTGAGGCTTTTACTCTGTTTATTTACCGGTGAATACACAAACTGCAAAGAAAGATATCGGGAAAGTAACCAAACTAAGACGTATACAATGTTTGTACATGGTTTACTGACTGACCTAAATTCATAATTCGCTTAAAAATATCTAAAAATAAAAGTATTATCAGAAAAAATAATGCCTAAATTACACTTGATCGGCTCACACTCGATCCGAAAGATTCAATTTGGCTTACCCGTTCGAAATATGGACATTCATTTCCATAGACTTTATCACGGACTGATCTCAGTTAGACAGCCATTGCAAAGAAGAAAGTACATAAAAGCTGTTTCGTCATAGTATGAGGATCCTCAACGGTGCGCCTACGCGAACCTACAAAAATACCCGAGTTTGGCGACAAGTGCTTCACGACTAGACCAAAAAAACGCATGAAAATTTAACATTTGCAGCAAACTATCATCACTTACATACTTACTTACACCAGTAACACCTATTCGTAAAGCATCGAACTCCCACCAGCATTCTCTATCCAATTCTGTCCTCGGTAAATATATCCAGTTGTTTCCAGTTTCTATTCATGCTTTTGATGTCTACTTCTAATTATCAATGCACTGCGTTCTTTGGTCTTGTTCTTTTCCGTATCCATGCAGGATTCCAAGTTAGCGCTTACTTCGTGATGCATAAACTCACACCAATATTTCACACATATTGAAAAGATAGATCATAATCAACTAGTCAAATGAGTGTTCAGTGGATAAACAACAGTCACTAATCTGTTTCCATTTTATGTGACCATTATTGATCGCGTTGTGTCACCAAAATAACAGTTGATTGATAGTAATTTGATATGCCCATCACGAAATTATCACTAATGAGAACAGACAAAATCAAGAAATCAGTGTCTTTTAACTTCAATCAATTACATCTCATCAGTTTCTCATTTGTGAACAAAGTCACGTTCGACACCTCCATTATTCAGAAGGGTTTAATTGTTCTTTTATGAATTATGACGGTCAGCAATATTTAGTTTTTCTAACGTTCATTACTATTTTGGTGTCAGTTGCTTCAAATGTACATACACACGTATAATAGTTTCCAATATATTATACGGCTAACAAATTAGCTCTTCTGCTTGTGTCTGTTATCCTATTTAATTGTGTTTCTCATACTAGATAGTTAAGACAATGCGAAAAGCTGTTGACATGACTGATATGAAGAACAAAGTGGATTCTAATTCCATCAAGTCATCGACATTAATCCAAACCACATTCGTTACATAGCCCCATGCTATACTTCTTTGATGTTTTCCGAAAGAAGTGAAAGTAGTCATTTTCACTGAATTGGTTCTTCCTTATCAGAACTGTTCATCTCCTCAACTTCAAGTCATAATTTTTAACGAGTGATTTCATGTTTTCCCATTGACTTTCGAGTCATTCAACTTCGATAGTCAAACACCTATCATTTAGTATCATTCGAGTAAGCACGTTTTGATTACACATACTAGGTGAGACGAAATATATACATTAACCAAAATTTAGTGTATTGAGAAGCAATATTCGAGTAAATAGTAGCAGATCGTTGCAGAGTGATCAGTTTAGGCTGAAAAATAATATGGATCTTGGTGGAACTCAGACGACATTTCTCTCAACTATCAATTAGGTTTCAATTTCATTGACACGTATCCTGTCACGAACAACAATTGTTCGCCCCGATTGGCATATTCACATCAGACTATCAAGTTGTACTTCTGACCTTGACATCACATTGTATTGATTATTCGGTATGAAGACACCTTGTTTAATCATAAGACACTAATTAGTAGGACTAACACGAAAATACACATATATTCGGGTGATTTTCATTTCGTTTTTTTCTCATGAAACAATACTGAAACCTTTAAAAGTCAGATAATTCATTCAGTGTACCAAAGAAAATGAATGATCATATGCAACGCTCAGATGTGAATTTACTTAACATTAGGTTACTTGTTGATGGCTAATCAAACATAGATTATCGATTTTCGAGTTGAAATTAATCCGATCAATAATATGTGGACATGTTTTATTGGAGAGTTATGTGACATGAACTGTTGTATATTCATTTTATGAAACCACTGAAGAGGTTCCGGACACGTGGGAATTCACAAATTCCTGTATCCCTGTCTCGTTTATTGGAATTACATGTCATTGTTTGTGAATTGTGATTTAGATCATTTTCCTTGAATGATTCCGATTTTCATTCTTCAACACAATCTGAATGATAATTTTCAGCAATAAATACAGATTTAGATGATACGTGGTCTATGTGCATACACATTTATTGTTTACAATGATTGGGTAAACACTATTTATCATGATCCAACTTACTGATTCTGACTTCGGTGGTAGATCTTGTAGTCTTTTGCTGTACAAAAGTAACTTGTTTCCCTGTTTAATACCAATGTTCCTTGAATGAGTCAAGTATGTTATTGGTTGAGAAAGTGTTTTCAAAATGATATTTTACATCATTTTTTAAAAGGCTAATTATCTTAGACTTATGTACGGGAGTTGTGAAGATGGATGTAAGATTTAACGAAACCATGTGTCTGGTTCGTGTTTATATCGTGATCATCGCCAAATCACAGAACAGTTGGAGAGGAAATTCTCAAAGTTCATTACAATGAAATGTTTGATTGTAGGCTTTTCATTATGAATTTCATAAACAGTGAAACGCGTACATATTCCACACGTCGATAGTACAGCATTTGATACAGTGCAAATTTGACTGATTACTTGAGTGAACTACTAACTGGTTGAATAACGTTTTTGTTACTTTATTGCAGTCCATCTAAAATAAACAACTGTTCTTTCTTGTTCACATTATACATCTTACGAACACTAAACGCTATTTGTTACTGAATAATTGAAATCAGTATTTCGTTGGCTGATTATCAATCAAATTCATTGTGAAAATTCAAGGTGCGTCTTCATCTTCGCTCTCATACTCTGAAATATTCACAGATTCCAGATTGTATAGACTCGATTAGAATTCACAACAGACGTATTTTTTCAAATAATTTTCGTTATTATTCACACGTTTCATAATTCCGTTTGATTTAAACAATCATAGTTACTGACCATAAAAAAGGTTGTTTACATATGACCCTGAACGTTTTGGGTACTCACACTCCGTTTTTTGGTATACTGATTGTTGTTCTCAATATCACTACCACTATTGTTTTCTTTTTTGCTCTGTTGCCATATTGACAGATCATTAATGTAACTGTTATATGCGCTCACAGATCATATTTTTCTCATTACTGAATTATATATAGTATGTTTGGATTATACGCTATACTTAGGAATTATTAATTATACGTTATAATTGTAGACTTAATGACCCATCCAACACTCCATACCCAGCAATTAACAAGGAACGTAAAAATTTTTCTTGTGTAGTTCTAGATTGTGTATCATTATCTAATTTTATACAATATTATTTAATACGTTTGTTACTATATATGATAATTGTATTTTTAGTCTGCCACAGCTTTAAGGCAAGAGCGATATTTTTTTACTTCATAGTATTATCGAGTCTGTCCTAGTTGTAACTGATCAACTGTTAAAAACAGTATTTGACAATAACAAACGCCATGCCACTCGTTTACCGCATTAAGAAGTCAGCTGAACTAGACAACCTGGTGTTCTACAACAGGACATAGTAACGACACTAATCCAATAAGTGTTACACCGATAAAAAATAAATCAAATAGTTTCATTTACCACATATTGTAAAACATTTGAAGACACCTGGCTTGGTTGAGACATTACTGTATCTATCTAATCAAAACTTCCAACTCCATTGAATAATCATAACAGTTGATTTTAAAATTCTATCACACTCTGTCAAATTATCATTGAGATAATTTAAACTAAATTGCTCCTTCTTAATACTTACTTATTTTAATAGACTGGTGAAATCGAAGTCGAAAATCCTTTCTTCGATAATAATAATAATGATAATAATGAAAAGAATAATAACGATATTGATAATGATAATGGTGGAGAGAAAGCGTTGAATACAAGTGGTAGCTCAGGTGAATTGATTGGTTGCAGTGATTTAGATGAGCACATTAGTGACTGTGTCAATAATGGATTTGCCGACGAGTTTAGTAATCTAACAACAAATACCACCACCAACGGAGAAGTAACATTGATCACTACAACTACAACCACTGTACCAACACCGATACAATCAGAGAAATCACATGCAGCTAGTAAATAAGTTGTTGTGGAACGAGAATTAAATCAACTCCAATATTTAATGCTAATTATTATTTTCATTGTGTTTTTGCATGTCGTCTGTTAATGTGATTTGTGTAACAGATTAGATAATCTTTTGAAATTCTACAATCATTCATATCATTTTCCAACATAACAAATAGTATCATTGGTCACTTGTAACGTCATCCAGTATACACTGAAGTCTTCGAAGAACATTTGAAGTATGGTAAAGTATATAATTTCTTTGTAATAGATTTATCCGGAGACGTTATTTTTCCCTTCAGGATACAAACTTTTCCCATATTTATACATCATGATTAGAGGTTTTTATCATTTCGTTTGCTGTCACAGATAACAACGTGCTAAACATGTCAATACGTTTTCGTTTTTATCAAAATTCATACATTTTCAGACACTACATATTCAAAGTTTACTGAAAAATTATTCATTCTAAAGTACTTGTCGAAAAGCCAGTTATTTTTCTAAATTTTGAATACTGTACCAAGTATATCATCCTCGCATTGTGCTGTTTGTTTGTTTGTTTGGTTTATCTTTGCTTACATCACTTTTCATCAATGTTCTTGTGTGTATATGCGTGCATCTCCGTGTAGATTCTTGTTTGTAATAGGTAGTAATCTGTTGTTCGGTTTAATTCGTCTTGTTACTTCAAACCACTTTTTGCTACCATGAAATTGTGTGTCTTCTGTAATCATTAGTTGAATGTTATTTCTCAAATAGAATAAATGATTCCACAGGATTTGTCTTCATTTTCATAATTCAATTGATACTAGTTAGTAGTTGATAACAGTGAATTCTATGAGGAGAATATGGCATAGGTCTATGAAGTCATTAAATATTGGACTGAGTTGTGATAGGAGATCCAGAGTTCTGGTTGACATCTGCACGATAATCATAATCAATGGTTAGAGAACTTAGGTGGTAAAAAATCGGTTAGAGTAGGATATTCATATTCGTTTCGTAATTCTTTTAGATTTTACATCTTACCATCATTACGTAATTTTATTTCATATTCTTACCATGAATCAAACCTAGTTTAAATGACTAGCTGATGTGAGTATACAACTCCGTTTTCAGTCTATGCTTAATTGTATAACAACATCCATGAGTTAGTTTTTGACGGTCTCACAACGAACCAATTGGAACAAAGTATGCGCAACACGACTTGACACTGTTTTAAAAATCTGACCTTACATTTTTTAAATAATACAACTAAATTTGATGATATCTTGCAGTTGAATGTCTTCTGGAAAAATAGAAAATTATTGATTTTGATGAATAACTTATTATTACTTCTTACGATACTACATATCCCATTGAGTATATGTTAGCTTCCATAACCTTTCCACATTCATTCAGAGCTCAATGACAGGACACTCGAAGAAATCCGATGGGTTTCCGAACCAACGTTGAGCTCATAGATCAGATATTCACCATACAGTAGATTCAGAAACATAGGCATATCTACTAGAGTGTGACTGTGACCACCTTTCTTGACATGATACTGGCACTCAACTCTGTCGACTGAGAGACGTTGTGGAAGAGTATGTATTGAAAGGTGCATTAAATAAGTACGAATATCATTTGGACTCTCTTTATTTATAAACCATTAGTTGAATCAAAACTTACGGTGGGCTGACATTTGAATTGGCCTACGAAAGTGGCATTCATGTTCGACCTTTAGGTCGAATGCTCCGGGCGTGGCCACTTAGGAAAATCACTTCCTTCCGTCTTGGCACCCGGCCAGTATCACATCCCACACACAAATCAAGTGACCTGTGTAGCACAGATGTATTCGGTGCCTTATTGCACCAATATTTATATGTTCAAATAAATAAATTGAAGCTTTGTCGGTTGGATAACTAGGCCAATAGTGTTGAGATAAGGCATAGGATACCAGGTAAAAATGGTGGTAAGTTGATTGATGGTACTATGAATAGAGAGAAATCACCGGAAAAAGTGCTACACAAGCTTAGTCAACGAATGTTCTGACTTGCTATGATGCTTATCATTGAAGTAGTCTAATAAAAGTGACAAAGCAAAATAAAGGAATGACATAGGCCTGTCCTTGCTGTGATTTACATCCACACCACAAACGAAATCTATAATTGGTGATTTTAAGTGACGTAACTTGACGTCAATCTCAGTGGTACAGAGATACTGACATTTCATCTTGCCCTAGATCCCAAATTTCATTATCAGTTTATACTTACCCTTCCTGAATTTTATATGTTCCGTTCCAACCATATTTGTCATTTCGTTCACCAAATACATAGTGATGTTGTTAGTTTACGTTCTTTGTTTTTACTATCATTAGTTTCCTCCCACCAAGTACATGTAACGTTTAGGGACTTAAACTGGTCCATATTAAACGCATACCTTATCATGTTTGTTATTGATCACTGAGTGATCTCTGAATATATGTAATACTATTCAGTGGTTTTCATACGTTGATGTAGTTGTGTGTGGGAAAATAGTATGAAATCTGGACAAAACCTCTGAAGTCGAATGTTTGTAACTTGCTGATTTGGTTCTGTGAAAGCGTACTGCGGTATTTGTATGAGTTAATGATTCTTCCGTATTTGATGGCCCGCTGATTGCGAATTCCTAATATTACACGTTCATTTGTTCTCATCTAGTTCTACTTAGAGTAAATTGCACCATTTCGGGAATTCCTGGTTTTTACATGAATTCGAATACTTTTGATCATCATAAATACCTCTTGTTAGGACACTAAGACAACTTAAATATTTTTCTGTTAATTCTCTGATGAATCTAATTTTGCCACTGTTGTATGGTAGTTCATATAGATTTTCACTAAGTGGGAAGTGAATAAGAATACCTAATGGACGGTAATTGTTTTATGCCATAGATTCACTGAGGTCGAAAAATTCCTAATATTGAGTGTTGATCTATTTGGTGCAATATTCGAGCATACTGTGCTTGAATCGATCCTTAAGTAATCGATAGTATGCGTCATTACAGAACAACTAAATAGAAGGATATACAGTTCATTGGAATGGGTATGCGAGAAAATGACCGAGTTGAAAAAAGAGGCTCACGAACAGAAACTTTAAATGTCCAGTACACCTAATTTACCTGGATAAAAGCTTAATCTTGTGAATGGAATAAATCCACTCGACTTCTCTCTGGATGAGCTGGTTGCTTGAACTATAGCTCTCTATAAACCCCACCAGTTAATTGTTGGTTCTGATCAATAGTCACCGAAACACCTGAGTCACTAAGTGTTATGAGTTAGCGTAGGATGCCATCTTTTAGACTTAGATACAAACCTAAGGGGTAGCCACCACAATGGATTGGAATGAAAACTTGTATACTCCAATCACTTTTGAGAGAATCAATCAAGTATCGACTGAAACAAAATTAGTGAAGTGAAAGACTACTGTGATCATTATTTTAAAAAATGTGCATGACATTTTAAATCGCCAAATGAAGCGTTTTTTATCAACTTATTTCTAGGAAATATTACCGATAACTGTGAGAACTTTGCCTGAGATCACAAAGATGCATATGATATTGTTAAGCAGGATGTTAAGAATTTAATGAAGTTTGTCTACTCACAGCTACATAATTATGGCATTATTCGGAAACAAACATCACTTGATCAGGATAAGTTATTAGGATAAACAGTGTCCAATCAACTAGGCTATACTTAACATTTTCGCGTTTGCTGATTATTGAAGTCATACTTTTTTCATGAAATCAGGTTAGTCGATTGGTTCTTTAGTGTTAATTTGTTTTCAGATATCTTGATCATGGATATACTATCCTAACATGATAGCCTTAGTTAAATCCGTTTGCTAACGCATATTATCAATAAAATAAGCAAAAGTATATTAAATGAACCATCATTGAAAACGGTTTACATGCTCAATGAGTCCTGTTAAGCTTGTCTGCTTAATTTTTATTGGTCACTCGTTCACAGCCAATGAGACATTCAATGGATCAGCGAATAGAAATGAAATATTTACAGCTTAGACAATGCAGTATTGGTGGATTTATTTACCAGATAACTATTTAAGTCACTGCTTAGTTAGTTCGCATTGTTCTGTCTGATTGTATGATGACTGGTGATCACATCAAGGTTGGTTTGGTCGTTTCAGGCTACTTGTGTGGGTTTTCGAGTCTTGTTAAGGTTCCCAGTTGCAGTATTTGGTAGAATGAATATTATTCGCGATATGAAAGTAAATACTGAGTCATATCGACTGCACAGTAAATCTTTACACATAATTAGCACTGATTTTTCACCTCATCAAGCCACTAAGTTACGTGTTCAGACTGAGTTCTGATATGATGCACAACCATTATAGTCACATAGTAATCGCCCAGTGTTTGTTTTAAGAAAAGTTTGGTTCAGTATTTCAGGAAATGTTATGGTTTGCCTGTGAACTTGCTGCGAGAACCAAGAGGGTTTTAGAGAGTGAATCCATCTGGTCCATATTTCAAAAATATGTAATCCATGGAACAGTTATGTTTTATATATGATGGGTTTTCTGAAGTGGTTAGGACTTGGATAATGGAACTGTTTTCAAGCGAAAAGTGATGTGAAACACTAAGCTGTAGTTTCTATAGGTTATCTATTTTAACGGACGCGGACGAGCTGAATCGATCCGGATGACACTTGTGGCAGCTGGTGTGAACTACGAAGATGAGAGAATTAGTTTCCAAGATTGGCCGAAAATCAAACCAACTATTCCGGGCGGACGATTGCCTGCAGTGAAAATCACCGATAATCATGGCCACGTGAAATGGATGGTAGAGAGTTTGGCTATTGCACGGTATATGGCGAAGAAGCATCATATGATGGGAGGAACAGAAGAGGAGTATTATAATGTTGAGAAGCTGATTGGTGAGGTGAGTTAAGCGTTTTACTGATTGGTGGAATTTTATGCTGTTGGAGTCCGGTGAGTTCAACTTATTGCGTCCAATAAATGAAGTTTAAATTTATAGGCGAGTGGTAACTAATGTGTTGTGATTACTAAAAATCATGATAAATTTGAAATATTCCAATTATTAAAAAAAGTGACTAAGACTGAACCTTTCTACCAATTGGAATATTAGAAATAAACTACTTATCTGCAGTACCGTAATAGTGTTCACTCCCGACCTTTGTTGCTACCTTGAAATGGTGGTCGAACTTGCCCATCGTGATGAAGCAACCGAGCTATACCGGCTGGAATAACCGTTCATTAAGGTCCCACCATGTCAGACAGATCGGTTGAAGAACGGTAAGACTAAAAGCAACAAACCTAGGATCCGAAGGCGGAGTCGTACTGCTGACTGTACAGAGGTGTGACACCAGTAAGGTGTTTCCTTCAGACAACCAGCATGACGGCGGTACTGCCTTCCCACAAGGAGGAGTGTGGTTAGAAAAGATCGACCCTAAAAATGCACACCTCGCCTTATCCCACGGATATCCGTCTCCGGCGGTAAGGTCGCAACAAGTATGGAGCTAACACAAAAATTACCCATAAAAAGATTGTGTGTGACCGACCTCAAGCAGTTGTCCCTTGGGCACTGCGGTCACGCTCCCAGATCACTAAGACCACCTCTAATTCAATTAGTTTACCTAATATAGTATCCAAAATGCTAGCTTATGGCGAACTGTCATCTGCTTTCGCAACCTCAAGTGGTGTCCGTAATGGCTGTTCACTTTCTCCATTTTTGTTTAACTTCATCGTAGGCCTATTGATGGAAATAACATTCTCATTTACTGAATTCTCGGAAGTCTGATCAGCCCTAATGGGTTGGTGTCTGACGAAATCTCAGCACGGATTCGAGAAGCTCGCCTGGCTTTCGCCAACTTACGTCACCTATGGCGAAGGCGAGATATCCGTCTATCAATAAAATGACGAGTATACTGCGCGGCAGTTCGTTCTGTTTTAATTTACGGCGGCGAAACATGGCCATTACGAGTAGAAGACACTCGTAAGCTACTAGTATTTGACCACAGATGCCTTAGAAATATTGCTGGCGTCTGCTGGTATCACCGGGTAAGTAATAGTGAGGTTAGACGCAGGGTATTAGGGAATGATGGTAAATCAGTTGATGAGGTTGTGAATCTTCATCGACTGAGATGGTTGGGCCACGCGTTACGTATACATGAACACTGATTACCACGATGCACAATGCTAACTGGTGCTGGAGACGGTTGGAAGAAAGTTAGGGGCGGCCAAACCAAAACGTGGCATCAGTGCTTGAAGTCACTAACTTCTAGTCTGAGTCATGTTGGTAGATGCAGACTACTTGGTTGGGGTCCGCGTGACAATCTTAACCAATGGTTGGAGACTCTTGGTGACATGGCTCAGAATCGATCACAATGGCGTCGGTGTATACACTGTCTGTCTTTCCTTAAACTAAGAGATTAAAATCGATCATATCTTTCTTTCTACCAACTTATTATTCCTTCCTGTACTGTATCCTTATTGCAATCTTCCTTTTATATATTACCACCTCTGAATTAACTACTTTTATGAACCCGGTGTCCATCTTGTTGTGTTAATGAGGTACGGCAACTTGGACCGATGCATATGTGTGCCTGGTCCTACGTTGTAGCTGACTGACTGACTGTTCACTGAGAACCATCCACTTCACCACTGGAAAATACTTCGTCGTGTTTCACTTTATTTGTTTACATCTCGACAATACTTGTTGTTCTTGTGACATTCTATACTGGATTCTCCTTTTATGTAAGTACTTACCTAAGTGTCAACGTGTCTGAAGGGAGAACAGGCAGGTTAACTCGTGTAGGTTGTTGACCTAGAGATGGCACAGCACGGTCTTGAGGCATTATCTCACGTGGCTCAGAACAGACGCAGTGGCGATCCTGCTGTAACTTTCTTACACTTCATTAAGGCGGGAGTAATTGAAGTTCTTTCTTCACTGGACTGCCTCCCATTATTTTTAGTCATTAGTAGTAGTGGTATTAATATTATCGACAGATTAACGTGCCTATGGGTAGTCCTGCGACGATTTAACCACACACAAAAGAATTTGCATAACTTAATCACTTAGCAGGGACTCAAATAGTCTCATATTGAAAGGAAAACTAAAATAAGCTATCAGTAGAACGTTTTATGCAGCCCAACTTATCATTATCGAAAGTCAAGGTTTGTGTTTCACCAAAAACCCAAACAGCATGTAAACGGTTGTTGCACATCCTATTGTATCTGTCAATTTATTTGTATGTATGGAATCACGTACATGGGGAGTATTAATCGTGAGCTGCAAATAAGGGCGCATGAGCACACCTAAATGGTTACAAAAACAAATGAATCCAGATGTTCTAATGAGATCAAGATGGACATTTGGTTGAGACTGGTCGTAAGGTTGATATCAAGTCAGTCGGAAGCGGAAACCCTCTATATTTGTTCAAAATCAATTTGTTCTTACCTCCAACGTGTCCCGGTAATAGTGGTTTATTATCCAGATTGGTAATCACATTGACTTTGTGTACTTCATCATTATCTTTCTTTCCGCCAACCTTTTAGTCTATTTAGTCGACCTTTTGTTTTTCATGTATAATGTCTTGACAAGTATGTGTGATCAGATTGCTCGAGATATATTGCGCAAATATATCACAATTCTGATAACCTTTGTCTTCTCATCGCATTGCCCATACTATTATTTTTATCATTTCATTCCCACACACTAATTTCTATTCATTGTTGCTCTTTGCTATTATACTCATCTTCCATTCTCTAAGTCTTCGCAACCTCCGTTTTAACTGTGTGGTGCATATATATATTTGGTGCCGCCTTGTGTCAATTTTTACATGTTCAAATAAATAAATAAACAGCTCCTAAGGAAAACCACAATTGTAATTTGTAAATCCAACTCAAAACTCTATCATTTCTCTTAATACCTAATTCAGCACATTTTATGATATCACATATATTATGTAGTGATGAAAACTCTACATGGTGGCAACCCTTAGTCAAAACACTAGTTCGATTCCTAATGTGTAGTTGTGAAGTCTTACCTTTTCTGCAAATAATATTTGGGTATGTGAAGGTTGTTTTATTCAGAGCAAGGATGTTATTCCACTGTTATTTTATTGGTTTTAACTGTTCATTGTTTTGTAACTATCCAGTGTCTCCTGATCGAATGATGAGTCGCCCAAAGTCGTCACTATATTATACTTTTACTTCATATTTTCATTAACTTTTTGATTTTGTCTACTAAACATAGGCTGAAGATCTAGAACATGAATATTACAAAACTTTGATGAAGCCAGAAGAAGAGAAACAGAAGATAATCAAAGAGATACTGAACGGCAAAGTACCAGTTCTTCTCGATGTAAGTTATTTTAAAATACTTCCAGTTTGGAAAGGACAGGAGGCTTAATGGCCTGTGTTAGTCTTGGCAATGGTGGTCTCTCGATTGATCCAACTTTCTTTTGAATGAGTCGATGGATGTAGCCTCAACCACGTGCTGAGGTAGTGAATTCCACTCGCTGATGATTAGATGGTAAAGTCGATAGTCAGCTGACAAGTAATTTGTTCTGGGCTTATGAACTTTTTTGGAGTGTCCTCGTAAATTCTTTGTTTTTGGAAGACCAGGAAATTGAGGACATACCAGGTGCAAATTTATCACTAAGCAATTTGAAAACTAATCAAGTCGCCTCTAGTTATATAATATGACAACGGGAAAAGGTTTAGCTTGGCCAGTCGAGCATCATACGGAAGCTTCTCAATTCCAGGAATCAGTTTAGTTGCTGTTCTCTAAACCTCTTCCAGAAACAGTTTTTTTAAGCAGGGGCTATCCGCTTGTATGCAGTACTCAACACTAACACTATACCAAGTCAAGAACGTTTTAGCGTCGACATGACTAAAAGCCCTACGTATTATTCGTTTTATGATTAATGTTTGTATTAACAACATGGCTTTAATGGGTGTAAGCTGATTGTGTGTATTGATTATACCGGAAACGATTTGTTGTGGTTCTTACCAAATTAAAGGCTTTCAATTTTCGTTGATAATCATAGTCTGGATGGATATGAAGACAGGTCCTATTGAAAGTCATCAGTGTTGAAACTGACGATCACATAACTTAAGTAGACTGACCACCCTCATATACAAGCTTTCAACATCGAAGTGTTGTCTGTCAGTTATGTCCATAACTAACCAATCAAATCGTTGTTTAAGCGACCACCACGCCAATCTGGTCTGATGTGTCTGTAAACTATCCCTGTCGCATGTGACCTACCAATTGAAAGACATTATTATCCTACTATATTGATGTGACTCATAATTTTATTCATTTCGATAAGGCACATAGTACTGGTTGAAACAGATAAGGTTTAAAGCCAAGTTGTGTTTGTTCTGACTGTAGCTTTCACGTAAACTCTATGCTCGTCAGGATGGCGTTTACGGTTCTAGTAGTATATCTATAGGACAAATGAAGTCATACATTGTCTGTTTTTGTTTGTTTTAACGCATCATTATGCCTGTAAGTCTCATAACCTATCCAGGTGCGTTTGTGAAAAGTTTAAGACATTTCGCTGTATAAGTTACGAAAGAGCCCAGTCAGAGACGTTTTGGTTGCTGGCAGTATGCATTGAAACAGATGTATACTATTCATATGTCGATTCCTAAACTGCTAACATTAACTGGCAACCACTCAATCTTTGTCGCAAGGGTCGACCAAGAAATAAGAAAAGGAAACGTGTTGAATTACTTTGTGCTGAGAATTCTATATTGTACAAAAATACACAATTGAATAAAGCTAGTATTAATGCTTACATGTTCGAAAAAATTAGTCTGATAAATTTCGATAATGAAATGAAAAGACGAAGTTTATTAGAATTATGTGATATATTTGCGCAATACATTTCGAACAATCTGATCACACATATACTTGTTAAGACATTTTTATATGAAAATTTAAAGGTCAGCTAGACTGATTAAAGTTAAACCGTAACAAAGATTAAAAAAATAAAGTACACAAAAACAATCTGATTACCAGTCTCGATAATAAATCAGTATTAACAGAGTAGGTTAAGTGTAAGGACAAATTGTTTTTGAACGCATAAAGGGGCTTACCTTTAATCTGTTTAGTTGACCTTTTAATTTTCACATAAAAATGTCTTAACAAATATATGTGTGATCAGATTGTTCGAAATGTATTGCGTAATTATATCACATAATTCTGATAACCTTCGTTTTCTCATTGCATTATCGAAGCTTACATGTTCGTTTGGCTGTCAACTGAATTACGATATTACCAGTCTGTTTCTATACCGCTTATATCCAATCACTCCGAATTATTTTAATCCACATTGGCTTTTATGAGAACGAATTAGCATATCCACATCTTCAGTAAGCTATGTTAGCGAGTGAAGTTGGTGTGTTGAGTGTATCTCAAACATGCATATGTGGCGATCAGTATTTGGTATAATTCTTAAATTTCGAATACATTATTCATGTCCACTCCTGAATTGCTAACATCCAATTGGTGACCACTCAATATTCGTCTCACTCCGTGTTAATATTGCCTCGGAAGCGTTACTCGTAGATTACTTATATGCTGCTTTAGACATACTGTTGTGGCTTTGCTTCGTTAATCAATCATATCGATAACCGTTATAATATAAATTTCAACGGTGCTTGAAATCAAAAGGCAATGAGAAGCAGCAACTACAGTTCATTAGCGGATAGCGCAGATCACAAAGCTATAAGAGCATCAAACAAATTTGAAGTAGAGGCGAACATGTATTTGCGAGCACTTACATAGGCAAATTTCTAGTCGAATCACATAAGGACACAGCAAAGTAAAGCAAAAAGCTAATAAGAGGATTTGAATACATATATACATTGGGACCTTGGGTTTGTGGCTTTTAATCTTACCGCTCTTCAACCGACCTGTATGGCATGGTAGGACCTTGAGGAACGATTGTTCCAGCCAGTATAGCTCGATTGATAGCTGCTACCTTGACGCGGTGGTCGGACTAGCCTATCGTGATGATACAACCGAGCTATATTGGCTGAAACATTTTCCTGTAGGTTCTACCATGCCAGGCAGGTCGATTGGTGAACGGTAAGACTAAAAGCAGCCACTCAACTCAAGGTCTGAGGGCGAAGTCGTACTGCTGACTGTAGAGGAGTGTGGCAGCAGTAAGGTGTTTTCTTCGGGCATCTGTAGCGATGCTGCCTTCCCACAAGGAAGGACGAGGTTAGAAAAGGTCGACCCTAAAAATGTCACACCTCACCTTACCTCACGGATTTTCGTCTCGGCGATAAGGCTCTTTGAAAAACGGAACTAACACATTCAAAACCTCCCACGAAAAGGCCGTGCGCGACCGACCTCAGCAGTTGTTCCTTGGGTTTTGCGGTCACGCTCCCAGGTCGTTAAGACCAACACTAATCCGATTTCTTTTTCAGGTTTCTCAAGAAATACCCCTCCACGGTGTGGGCAGCCGGGAAGTGATATCAGCCCTCATACCCGTAACAGCACACGAGACCAAGTTGGTCGCATTCAAATCCTCCCTACACCTCCTAATACCTCTCTTGTCTCCACGAATAACCCTCCTCACGTCTCTTTATCACCTCGCACTGCTAGGGTGTTGTTTACCAAAATGAGAGGACGAAATGCGAATGTCCGGCACTTTAACCGGATCCCAAAACAATGGTGCACATGGGCTCCAGTATCCTGCGGTAAAAAATGCCGTATGAACCAATTGTTGGTCACCCGTTTCCATGGGACTACATCTCCTTACGATGCTCCACTGCCTTGTGGATCAGGCTTTCAGGTTGAAGGCTCGGGGAGTGGCCCCTTAAGAAAACCACCTGCTTCGGTTTTTGGCACCTGGGCAGTATCGCAGCCCTCACACATATCGAGTGAGATTTGTGTGGTCCATATGTATTTGGTTCCTCCTTGTACTACTGTGAAAAAAAACTATGGCATATAGATATCCGGTGCCACACATCCACGACATCACTACCGATATGGAGGGTGGCATGATCTTTCCAAAGATTGATCTTGTTAGGGCTTATTACCACATCAATTTGGGTTATTTGAATGTTTGTGAGTGCCCTTCTGATTAACTAATGCAGCTCAAACCTTCCAGCGATTCATTGATCAGGTCGATAGAGGTTTGATAGGAGTATATGTATATATCGATGATATGCTAGTAGCTAGCGCTACTATGGAAAAATATCTACGACAGTTGTTTACGAAACTTCAAGGACAATGCGTTGAGATTAACGTGGAGAAGTATGAATTTGGAAAGGAATCATTGCAATTCCTGTTTCATATGATAGATTCTCGAAATATCACGTCAGGCTCGCCATTTTAGTGGCCCTATATCTGACTCGAATTAGATTGTATGAATGATTGTTGTCAAAATATACATCCTGGCTATCCTCGTATATAATTATCCAGTTAACTCGCGTTTGTGATTAACAGAATTACAATAATTCATATACGAGAAATGATTTCTAATACGTCTATTTTGTACAATCATTGATCCAGGAGGACGATCAAAGGAACGAAGCGAAACGAAATAATGCGCGGTGGAGAAGGCTTGTGAGCCAACTCGATTTAATCAAGCGTTAATTAATATCTATAGTCGCACAAAAATAGGCTACAGACGTGATGAGTAGGTTAAGGCGTACACACACATACGCCCATATAAAAATAGTCGGAGTTGACAAGTGAATAATTAACAAGATGCGACTCAAGAAGAATGAATAGATCGGCCTGTTCAGAAGCTAGAATAGGTTGTGTGAGCTCAAAATATGAACGGACACTACACATCTGACAATAAAATGTGTATCAATCAAGATAAGTTACTTGGTAGAAGCGGTAGTTTGAATTTCCGATAAGCTTTGTGATGAGACAGAAATCTGGAGAGTCGGAAAGTCATGCACTTATTGTACATTCATCAAACAAACAGGTTAAATAAGGATGCGGAAAATCTTGATCGTCAGTAGAAAGTAGTAAGAGTTGGGCACTTACATGGTGAGCCATTTGTTTTGGTATTTCTTAAAAGTATTGACTGAGGTTGATAGTGAATGTCGTTATCCACTGTCATTTTAGACGAAACTGTTATTTTTTAAATGAGACAAATTAGGTGATGAAGATTTTTATCAATTAACTAAACTGTGCATTCTTTTGTTCAACATTCATCTAGATTATCTGCGAATCTCTGAAAGCGTCCACAGGCAAGCTGGCTGTTGGGGATAAAGTGACTCTAGCCGACTTAGTTCTGATTGCTGTCATTGACCATGTGACTGATCTGGATAAAGAATTTCTAACTGGCAAGTATCCTGAGATCCATAAACATAGAGAAAATCTACTAGCCAGTTCACCGAGATTGGCGAAATATTTATCAGACAGGGCTGCAACTCCCTTCTAGAACTGTCAACAGGATGCTGGGTGTGACGAGATTGAAGATACTGATTGTAGTGCACTGGTGTGACCTTTTTACTAAGACGTCATTTGTTTTATGGTATTTTTTTCGCAATCGTTATTAAAATAAACTTAGTTTTCTGTTTAACTTTGTCTTCTGTGAATAGTTACTCAAGCGCTTTAGACAAAAATGGGTGGATTTAAAGATTAAGCTCGTGTACAACGTCGTGGATTGATTGATGCTAAACATTAATACTGTTGAATGCCAGCCTAGTTGTGTAGAGGTTAAGAGGCCGCGTGGGTGCGCGCTCCTGAGGAGTCCCGTCCAGGGTTGGTTTAACATTAATCGGTTAGCGATTTCAATGAAATATCTATATCTTAGATTAAGTGGGTCACAATGGACTCTGCCTTTGACGTTACATTTCGTCGATACCTCTTGAGAATAATTTCTCCAGTTATGTGAGTCTGTTAAATCGTGTGTTTTTACGAAATGCGTTTATCGTACATTACTCGCAGAATATTCTTTTCGATAATTTGAGGACCCGTTTTAAATTTCTGGAAGCAAGGAATATTTGATCGGACTGTTGCTTTGAATTACTTCGTCGTATGTTTCTCAGTTTGACTGGTGCTAGTTATAAAGGCCTTAGTCAATTGAGTCTACCAAGTTGGACTCGTGAATATGTGCGGAGTTTGTTGGGAAATGGGTCACCAAACCGAATATCATTTATTGAACGGTTTTTTCTGAATTTTTGCATTAGATTTTTTCATCCCCTTCTGTCCAGTGGGATGATTAGCTTTAAAATGGTAATTATTGGTTATTGTTTTCTGGAAAGTGATATAAAATGTTAGTATTCCTCAAGTGATCGCCGTTTATCCAAATTACGAACGTTATTGTCTCACGAGGTATTGTTTCGAGCGTTCCAGTTGCTATCAGGAATTATGGAAGGGCGACGTGCTGCTGTCACGCTGTTCATGTTTTCCATTTCTATAAGCATTAGAAGGATGTCTCAAACATGGTTGACGTTATCCGCAGCACCTGGACCTCGTATCGAAGACTCCACTTCTACGAATGGACAAATGCCATGAGTCGAACAGTTAGTTATTACTAACTATCGAACGAATGCGGATTTGGATACAACGCTAATTAATGAAGATGTTTTTATAAACTCGGGAAAATATAATGACACAACATGGGAGATGCTCATACCAACGAACTGTGTGACACGCCATCTTGCTCAACCGCCAAGCAAAACTGCCGGAGAATGAACTCAGACTGCCTGTCACTGCAATGCTATATTTCAATTGTTTTTTAGTTAGGACCCTCAGCCAAAATTCCCTGATTCAATTGCCAATATGTGGCGCGGTTACGGAGTTGCAATGGAAGGCATGGCCGTACTAAAACTTGGTATCAACGATAAAATGGTACATTCATATTTCAGTTAACAATTAAGAATCTAACGTGTTTTTCTTTCTATAAGGTGATAAAATGAGGGAACAGGGAGGTGGAGAACCCTGGAAGAGAAATGATTGTGTGGTCGGAACCAAGAGACCGACGCAAGGCCCTTTTTAAGGTCACGCACAATTTGGTTTCGATTTTTACATTTTAATTCGTTACAAATTGCGTCGTTAACTTACTGACATTCGCATTCCATATACATATTCTGTATTTTCGATGACAGTTCAGCCGTCATTGCGTTTAACGTCAGTTGTCTATGAACTAGTTTTACGGTTGCATTTGTTCCGTTACGTCTTTTTTCTGTAACCAAATTGAGATTGTTGTTATGTATTCAAAAAAATCGTCAGGTAATATTCTGTGATTACAGGAAACCAATTACACCGTACTAATGACATATTTAGAAATAATAAGTGGTGACAGTAGTATGGGCTTCAGTTAAGGTTATATTAACTCGTTCCTTGCATCTGTTACCCGTTGTTAAGGAGCATGGACCACCCACCACCATTCTCTATTCAAATCTGTCCTGGACAATCCTTTCCAGTTGCCATTCACTCTTTTCATGTCTGCTTCCAATTCTCGACACAATGGGTTCTTTGGTCTTTCTCTCTTTCATTTACCTCCATGATCCCAAGTTAGAGCTTGACTTGTGATGCAATTTGATGATTTCCGTAATGTATGTACCATTGACTTTCCTGATTTCCTCTTCAACTGGAAGTTGGTTTGTTCTCTCCTATAGTGAGCTGTTGCTGACAACGTACAATGAGTATGTTATGTAGACAATTAATTATAGTAGTTTTCCGAGTTTCAGTTCCATTTGTATTCAAGATTCAAACTTTGATGTTGATTGATAGTTATTTTGAGTTCCATATGTTGTTCAACTGTAGAAACACTGATGCTTGACAAGGTTATTACAGTCTTTCCCTGCATGTAATAAATAGTATTATTTGGACATGATTATCGGTACATATGCATCATATCCGTTTCACTGAAGGTGCAGAATATAAAACACAGTCATCCGATGGTACACATTTTTCTCAGATCTTATACATATACATGTGCAACATGCACTAAGGCTTGTGTCCTTCACACATGAAAACATAAGAATATGTTCAGCTGTATAATTACAAAACCTTTATTATCTGCTCTAAGGCTAATTTGTATTAGCATTCATCGATAAGCAATATCTTTATGTCATTATGCTAACTGTGAATTAAATGAAATTGTTATTATATTCATTATCAATGCCTGTGAACTCCTTACCTAGGTAATACAATTCAGTCAATACTGATGAAAATGTTGTTTGACCTTTACGTGTTTACTAAAGGAGTTTTGTGGAGATTGTAGTAATTTAATGGTTGAATTCATGAGTAAATCAAAGCTAGACCAGCATGGAAAGCCTTGAAGCACTGAACGGTCCTTGGTTCGTATTCCACGTGCGGGATTCTGGATGCACACTGCTGAGGAGTCTCATACTAAGACGAAACTGTCGTCTAGTGCTTCCAGGTTTTTCATGGTGCTCTAGCTATAACTGACTCATGAATTCAACTATTAAATTGTTTACTAAAGCTTAATAGTTTTCTGTCATCATTAACTTATGTACTAAGATCATTTTACTGCTACAACTCAAGTATTTCTATGGCTAAGATCAACTGAACTAACACTGATAAATTCACATCAAGCCCTATTGAATATGCTACATAATCATTTAAGAATTATAATCATCTCGATAATGCAATAAGAAGACGAAGTTCATCAGAATTATATGATATATTTGCACAATACATTTCGAACAATCTGATCACGCATATACTTGTTAAGAACATTTATATATGAAAATTAAAAGGTCAACTAGACAGGTTAAGGGTGAGTCATAACAAAGGAAAAATACTAAAGTACACAAAAACAAATGTGATTACCACTCTGGATAATAAATCAGTATTACCAGGGTAGGTTAAGTGTAAGGACAAATTGTTTTTGAACACATAAAGGCGGTTTCAATTTCCGTATAGCCAAGGCTTCAGTAAACCTTAGTATACGTCCTTGAAGGCTTTTGTATAGCACCACAAATGCTGATAAACTTCGTCTTCTCATTGCATTATCGAAATTTATCAAAGGGACTAATTGTTTTAAATAATAATCATAATGTGATTATAGCCCATATATTAGTAATACTTTATGGTTCATCTAATGAATATTGATCTGAATGGGTTTTGTGGAGAGTTTTAGAAATTTCACAGGTTGAATACTGATCTGTTTAACAATAGTATATGCCAACGTCCATAACTCATTTTCATTACTTTTAATTATTACATCGAAATTAAACGTTGTTACAGCTAACTATCAGGTAATACAGTTGACCTCGTTCACTTTTAGCAGTCTAGTTGACGGAAAAAATTAACATGTCAAACATGAGCCTGTTAATTAGCACCTAATACTACTTATATCTTAATTACTTTTCGAACATAATAGTTATTGAAACGTTTACCTGTTTCGGCTTTGACATTGACATATTCACCTATTGCGAATATGTACATAAAATTTGTTAGTGTCCCTCTAATGCGTTTAACATATAAATCAAATTATTTGGAAAATGATTTCTGATGTAATTAATTAGAAAATTAAGCACAGCACATGCTAGTAATAAGTTGATTAAGTTACTTTAGGCTTAACTATAAGGCATAAAGTAGACAGTAATGAATTGGCGAAATTTAATTTCTTATATTTCAAATATTAAAAATGTTTGCGTTGAAAACAAATTTTATGTTGATAAATTTGCGAAATAACACAACAATATAGACTACTATACTTAAGAATACAATATTGCATTTATCAGAATGAGTTTTGTGGAGATTTTAGTAAATTTCACAAGTTGAAATCATGAGTCAGTTGAAGCTAGACCACCATTGAAAACCTGGAAGCACTGGACGGCCGTTTCGTCCTAGTATGGGACTCCTCAGCAGTATGCATCCACGATCCCGCACCACGCGGGGCTCGAACCCAGGACATACTGGCTTCGCGCGCGAGCACTTATTGCATTTATTGTCGATGCCTTTTTAAAACGAAACAAAATACATGCATTATATTAGGAATCATCATTTTCAAATATCACCTATACATAAACACTCTTCGGTTCTTTCTCTTAAGTTATCATTCATTTGTACTGATATGCTGTGTATTGTTACAACGAATTCATGCATTAGTAATCGTGGGAAGTGGGGAAGAGTTAGAGTAAGGAATTGTTGTGAAGAAATGTTCGACCCAATAATTTTGGTTTTTGATTACTATCAATCATTAATTATGTTGATTGTTCGTTTTTCGGTTTTAAATTTCATGTAATAAACGTTACATCTCGATAATACTTGTTGTTCTTGTGACATTCTATACTGGATTCTCCTTTTATGTAAGCACATACCTAAGTATCAACATGTCTGAAGGGAAAACAGGCAGGTTAACTAGTACAAGTTAGTGGCCTAACATGTGTTAGCATCAATATAATGTGGTCAGCAGTAAACTCGACCATCCGCGTTTCGTCCTACATGGGATTCGTCAGACAAAAAAACCTGTATTCCAGTTTTGGTAGAAAACATCGTGTCTGACACCTGAATTCCTAAAGTGCATTGAGAATCAAGTTTCAAGATTTCACTCTGGGGTGGGACTAATTGGTCAAGTTTATCGGTTGCAGTCATTAGTTA